ATACAGTGCCCCAACTGCCAGCCACGACCCATTAGACTCAAGGTCCTGTGTGAAGCAGAATAGGGTACTGATGGGATAAAGGCCAGGAATGACCCCTGGACACACAGACCCAAGTCTAGAAAACAGACGGGGTCAGTATGACGGATATTTCACACTGGCATTTGAGTAAAAATCATCTTTGTTCATCACACGAGCACTCACCAAGTAAGCGCCCTAAACAGAGGACGACTTGTCAACCTGACCCTGGTGAGTTACAGCCCGTCACCTGTCCATGCAAGAGCCGTGGGCCACACTCGCACACGACGTGCTCTCCAGGTGCAGCCTGCACCTCCAGAGGCCGAGCTCCTCGGACACCTCACAAAGCTCACTGGCAAAAGATTCCAGTGGCTTCCAGACCTTTCTCGTCTGTGGTATACCCATGGCATATGCCTATAGTTCTTTTAGTGAGGCACAGAGTTTGAACCTCAGCACCACATAAAATAAATAAATAATTTTTAAAAAAATCTCCAAATAACTAACAATCCTTCTCCATACCACTCAGAATTAAAATCGATTTCGTGGCTCCCCAGCCTGCTGCTGACCTCTCCCTGTGGGCAACCACCACAGCACAAGGCCACTTTTACTTCCTTCACAGAAATCTCAATGGAAACAATATTCCTTGCCGACAAAATATTCCAGTAACATTAAGACCACAGATAAACCAGACCAAAAGGAACAGCTCTGTGAGGGCTGCAGTGGAGGGGACCCGGGGAGCACCTGGCCAGGAGGGTCGAGCATCCGTGGCGAAACTGCACCCCCTGGCGGCCATAGTGAGAAGGGCCTGCCGATCTGAACAGAGGCCCAGGGCAGACAGACCAGGGAAAATCCCCAAAGGCTGTTTGCTGTGCTGCGTTTACACAACACACCTGTCTGCAAAGGGTCACACTCACCGGGGAGTGGCATGTGTGACCTCCAGCACGCCCTGAACAGGCGTTGAAAATTAAACACCAGAGAAACACTGGAGCAAGAAAACTAGTTTTATTCAAGAGACGAGAGAGAGAGAGAGAGAGAGAGAGAGAGAGAGAGAGAGAGAGAGAGACTCCTCTGGAGAGGAGGGTCCAGGGCTGGTGCCAGGCAGTGGGGGTGTCTTGCCCCTGATAGATTTCAGGGTTCCTGTCTTCTCGTGCCTACGTGAGCAAAGGGCAGGGAGAGCGCTGCCAGGGGCTGACCGCTGAGGTAGGCAGCCTGGTGCTGGGAAGTGCTACCTACCCACTTCCTTTTCCTTAATCATCACCAACCTGCCCTTTGCCGGCCTCACCACCATTCGGCCTTGCTATCCCACTCCTTGGTATTCATCCAAAAGAACTAAAATCGGCATACTTTAGGGATACAGAGATGGCATTGTTCACAGCAGCAAAATCCACAAGAGCCAAGGTTGGAACCTGCCATCGACAGAGAAGTGGAGAAAGGAAATGTGGGCTATTGACAGCGGAGCTCTACTCGGCCACAGGGCAGAGGAGAGCATGGCACCTGCAGTAAACGGGTGGCATGGAGACACCACGCCAGGCGAAATGAGCCAGACTCAGAACGATGACAAGGTGCAGTGTCGGCCCTCGAGTGGGAAAGCCAGAGAGGAACTAGGCATCTGAAGAGGAGGAGCCCAGGAAAACAGGAGTGAGAACAGCGCAGGAAAGGAAGGGGACTGGGGGGGAGATGGGAAAGGGCGGGAGCTGCAGGTGATGGTGACCTCATCGCGTGGTGTGGTGCATGGACGTCTCACAGTGAGCTCCACTGTACATGTGACCACAGAGCACCAATCCAAACACAGTGAACAAGGGAAGACCAAGAGAGAGGAGGACGGGCCGAGGGGGGAGGAGGAGGAAAGCGGAAGTACTGGGGCCTGAGATGGAGTGGATCATGGCGCATGCGTTTGTAAATAGTCAAAATGAACTCACTATTACGGGCCACTATAACATACGAATAAAGACATTTTTTTAAAAAACACTGTAAGAGGGGCTAGCGCTGTGGCTTGGTGGCAGAGCACTTGCCTGGCATGTGTGAGGCACTGGGTTCAATTCTCAGCACCACATAAAAATAACTAAAAATAAAATAAAGGTCCATTGACAACTAAAAAAATATTTAAAAAATAAAAACACTGTCAAGGAAAAGTCAAGCCACAGGCTGGAAGAAAATTTATCTCCTAAAGAACCTGTATCCAAAATATATAAATTTAGAACTTTCAGAACCCAATAAGAAACAAACACCCTAATTAATACCCGGCTAAAAACTTGGACACTTTACCAAGGAAGACACAAGATGGCAAATAAGCACATGAAAAGACTTCAACATCATAAGCCCTTAAGGAAATGCAAATATAACCACGAAAAACCCCAACGAGGACCTGGAACCCCCGCAGCCAGGGGAGTCTAAGGTGCGCAGCGCCTGGGAACAGCTGGGCCGCTTCTTAAAAAGAAACTTCACGCACCCTACAACTCCGCAGTCTCGCCCCGAGGCTCCGAAACGACAGGATGGAGGCACTGACCCAGAGGCAGTCCACAGCAGCTCGTCCCTCCCATAGGAGGAGCCCCTGTCACTGCCCGCACACAGACCCACACACCGGACACCCTATGGGGGCGCCCTTACTGCTCGGCGGGAACAGGGAACGACCGTGGGTCCATGCTGCGATGTGGGCACACGGGAAAGTGACTGCGGAGCAAAAGAAGCCAGGCTCGCCCCAACAGAGCACACGTCCCTGACCTTGTTCACCCAGTCCAAGGACACGCAGACGTCTGCACAGCAACAAAAAGCCAGGGACTGGGGGGCAGGGGACAAGGAGGCAGGTGGGAGGCGGTCCGTCCTCCTCTGGAAAGAGACCTGCCGCCCCTGGGAGGGAAACCTTTACTGTGGTCCTTGGAGGAGCTCAGTGGCCACATCTGGCAGCTCTACATGTGGGCTCAGCCTCTAAAGCCAGGGTCAGCAAACGACTGCCCACAGGCCGCCCTGTCCCTCTGGGCAGTCCTGCAGAACACAGCCCCCACATTCACCACCACACGGCTGTCTTCGCACCCCTGGGCTGGAGTGGCTGCCACCACAAGGCTCCATCACCTGATGTGATGACCATCTGGCTCTTCAAGAGTCTGCTGACTCCTGCTCAAAGAAACGTGCTCTGCGTGCCAGACACGGGCACACTGTTGACAGCAGCAGCGGCTGAGGACACCCACGCGTGCGTCGATGAAGATGAGTAAACCAATCAGGGACCCAGCCTTCAACTACAGTGATACACTGACCCACAGGCGTGGAAACAGGGAGAGCCTCAGAAACACGTCACCTGAAGAAAGCCATCTGCACCACGTGACATCACAACGTAACAGCACCAAGCGAGGCAGCACCAGGGCAAAGCAGAGGGCAGCGAGGCGGCTAGGGGCTGCCCTCCAGAAAAAGGGGCAGGGCAGGGGCAAAAAGCACTTCAACTTCTCCTTTATTTAAAACAAAACTGACCAAAATGTTTTAAGAACAGATTAAACTTAAATCTGATGCTCATCAATATCCTAGAAAACCAGAGAGAGGTTTTCTGCGGGCTCCTCCCCACCCAGCTGCACATCACCCCACCTTCAAACAGCTGACTGAACTTTTCCAAACCAACAGATATTCATGAAACAAAGACAACTTCCCCTTTTATCTTCTGAAGTTAAGTGATTTACCAATGTGAAATTTACCCTTCAAAGGAGGCCTGAAACAAAGTCCCAGTATGCTTTGTACAAAAAATGGAGCTAGCCAGGCGCGGTGGCGCATGCCTGTAATCCCAGCAGCTCAGGAGGCAGAGGCAGGAGGACTGAGATTTCAAAGCCAGCCTCAGCAACAGCGAGGCGCTAAGCAACTCAGTGAGACCCTGTCTCTAAATAAAATACAAAACAGGGGGCTGGGGCTGGGGCTCAGCAGCAGCGCACTGGCCTGGCACATGTGAGGCACTAGGTTCGAGTCTCAGCACCACATATAAATAAATAAATAAAGATCTATCAACAACTAAAAAAAAAAAGGTTAAAAAAAAATACAAAACAGGACTGGGATGAGGCTCACTGGCTGAGCACCCCTGAGTTCAATCTCCAGTTAACCCGCCCAAAAAACCACACCTATAAAATCTAAACCAGTGGGCACCTGAAAGGCACCTACATGAACAGACCGGAGGGATGACCCTGGGTTTCATCGCTAGGGACATCTGGACGCCCTGGAGCAGAGGGACAGGGCTGTGGCGGAAGAGAATCCGTGGCAACAGAGGACTGGGCGAGGCCTCGCCCCACATGCTGCTGCAGAGGGCGCCTCCAACGCCAGCTCACGGGCTGTTTCAGGCCATAACTTCACAACTGGACATTTTAAGCAGGATTTTCTGAAACGAATAACCATTAATTTGGGAGGAAAAACAATGTGTGTGCACACAGCCCTGTGTATGAAACTTTTGGAATCACCAGCTGATTGACTATCCAAAAAACTTCTGTTTACACACACGCAAAATCATTCTGTTCATAGTGACATTAGAGGGATGCCACCTGAGCAGCAGGTGCTCACCCTGATGGTCACATGCCTAAGGATAAACAGCAGTGGTGGACAGGAGGCACAGGTCCCCACAAAACCATATCGCACATCTGTAAGGACGACCTAGGAGCCAAGGCCGAACAGAGCACACACTCGCTGCCAGGCGGGCACCCCAGCTCATCCTGCCATCAGCTGGGGCAGGCGGCCAGCCTCCCCACTCCCCCAGGAGGGCCTGGAGAAGGGTGGGCAAGGCTGGAAGCAGAACCAGCCCTGGGCCCTGGCTCCAAGGAGCGGGATGCCAGGCCAGGAAAGCGCCCCACTCAGAGAGAACCCAGACTTGCACCCTCCCAACCGGGGATGAGCGGACAGACGCACATGGCTGTACGGGCAGGCATCACTGGTTATCACAACACTGGAAGCGTCTCTGTTTAAAAGTAAACATGTGAGACAGACTGCTAAGGTGCCAACGGTTACAGAAATCGTTCCATTACCTTCTCTCCAGGTTTGGGTGATTGCTGCAACTTCTCATAATCTTTCTTAGTCTCCAAAATTTTTTTCACAAGTCCACCTGTTGAAAATCAGTGATTTTAGGTTAAAGATATTCTCTGTTCCAAGAAGCTATTTCCAAATGGGTGGGAGGGTGGGAAAAATACTAAATTCTATACTAAAAAGTTTCAAATAATCTATTTGATGAAGCTAGTCTACGAGAGAATGGTACAGCAGCTGGTATTGGAAATCAACTATAAAACTTTAAAGTCTAAGAAATCAGCTCATAGAAAGGGGAAAAGCTTTGGAAATAAAATATTTTCTTTTCTACTTCCAGAGTCAAGAAGTATTAGATTAACACCACAAAACATGACCATCCATTACAAACATAGCAATTCCAAATTATTTCTAAGTACTGATATATATATATATATATATATATATATATATATATATATATAGGCAAAAATACTACATTTCTTTTAGAATTGCAGATGGGATATATATCATACAAAAAATCATTTTCTTGAAAATATTATTCCACCTGACCACATATCATTGTGGCACTGACAGAATACATCACACACACCTACATGGTGAAGATCACAAAGCTCCAAAAGGGGTTGAGGACTATTTCCTTATATTGCAATAGAAGGGATGCCAGCAAGGACTCAGTTTAAACTATAGAAGCATGGAGGTGGGGACAGGTACTCACACACACACACACACACACACACACACACACACACACACTTCTCCTTTTTTGAAAATGGAAGGATCCAGCTGGGTATGGTGGCTCATTCCTGTAAACCCAGTGGCTTGGGAGGCTGAGACAGGAGGATCATGAGTTCAAAGCCAGCCTCAGCAGCAAGGCCCTAAGCAACTCAGGAAGACCCTGCCTTTAAATAAAATACAAAAAAGGGCCGGGGATGTGGTTCAGTGGTTAAGGGCCCCTGGGTTCAATCTCCAGGACCAAAACAAAAAAAGAAAAGGAAAGAAGATGGAAGGATCCAGATTACAGGCCACGTGGCTGGGCGCTACAGTGTGTTTTAAAGCAAGCCATGAAAAACAACAAACACCCCCCCAGGGGTGGACCAAGCAGCTGGGATCTGCCTGCAGTCCCAGAGCCAGGGGGAGGGTACACTGCCAAGGCCGGGGCCCAGGCCATGCCCGACCACTGGTGACCTCAACACTCAAGCCCGCAAGCAGGTTAGCACCCCGGCAGGCCTTCAGTCTTTTTCTCTTGTCGGTTTCCCTGTTATTGTCTTCCATGTCAGTTTATATGGTTTCCTGCTGTGCTTGTTATTTCATATTTTAAAATAATTTTAATATTTTTTTTACTATTTTTTCCCTCTTTCCTTCTCTCCTTTATATTCCACCCCTTTTATTTTTTGCTTTCTCTTCTGTACCTATTCATTCCCCAACATTTTTTTTTTTTCATTTTTTCTCTCTTGTTCTTTTCCTTCTATTTTTTTTAATGTAGTTTACTGTTGATTTTACTTCCTTATAATCTGACTTTTTCAGCATATCATCACCCCTTTCTTCTCCTCAGTTAATGGAGAGGCAGAGATCATTTGCCCCACTGTATACTATCTCCAAGAAACACACCTCACAAGCGGAGGCAGCAACAGACTCTTAGGTGAAAGGGTGGAAGATGCCCCTCCATGTCGATGGAGACTGACGGCGAGGTGGAGCCACGCTCGTGTCCCAGTCAAAGCAGATCCCAAGCCCAAATCAGGAGGAACAAAGAAGGTCTTCACTACTCATAAAGGGAACAATCCAGCAAGAAGATATAATAATTGTAAATACTTATGTTCTGGTTGCTGGGGTCCAACATTTTATAAAACAAAAATTACTAGGTATAAAAGGACTAACCCCGATCCAGTATTAGTGGGAATTTCAATATGCCTCTCTAACTAATAGGTCATCCACACAGAAAAGCAACAAGAACACATCAGATTTAAACCTTATTTTATAGATAAGTTGAACTTAACAGACATCTACATAACATGTCATCCCATGACAACTGCTCCAAAATTGATCATATATTAGGCCCTAAAGCAAGTCTTAGCTAATATAAAAAGGAAAGAAATCATATCTTGTATTTTTTCAAAAAATAATGAATGAAATTAGAAATCAACAAAAAAACTACAAAGACTATACATACTTTGAACACTACACTCTTGAATGATGAGTGGGTCACTGAAGAAATTAAGGGGGAAATTTAAAAATACCTAGAATCAAACAAAGATGGAAACACATCAGAGCACCATCTCTGGATGTACAAGGCAGCACTAAGCGGGAAGTTCATAGCTACGAGAACTTCCATGTAAAAACAGAGATCTCAAACACCTACTGATACATCCACATGTCTTAGAAAACACAAACAAACCGATCCTAGTTGTCTGGAAAGAAATAAGGGTTAGAGTTATTATCAACTAAAAGAATACCAAGAATCGATGAACTGGCATAAATTGAAAAAATAAACAAGGTTAATAAACCTCTAGCCAAATTAACCAAGTCAGAGAAAACCCAAATTAATCACATTAGATGAAAATGGAAGAATTACAACACACACAACTGAAATTCAGAGAATCTTTAGGAGACAGATATTTTGAAAACATACATGCCAATAAATTGAAAATGCTAGAAGAAATGGACAAATTTCTAAATACATATGCTCCTACCAAAACTGAACCAAGAAGAGAGAGAAAACCTAAGAGACCAACTATAAGAACTGAGGTTGGAACAGTAATAAAAAGCCTCCCAACAAAGAAGAATTCAGGAACTGGCTGATTCACAGTTGAATTTTATCAGAACATTAAAGAAGAATTAATGCCAATACTCCTCAGATTATTCCATGAAGTTGAAACTCATTCCGACTTCCAAACTCATTCTAGAAGCTTGTACCTCCTTGATAGCAAAAACAGATAAAGATACTTCAAGAAAAGAAAACTACAGACCAATATCATTGATGGAACGTAGACACAAAGATCCTCAATAAAATATTAGCAGCAAATCAAATTCAACTACACACTAAAAAAGATTATTTACCTTGATCCAGTTGGTTTCATTCCAGTGATACAAGGGTGGTAACACACGGAAGCCAATAAATGAATTAAACCAGATAAGTAGAAGCAAGGACAAAAATCATCTCAAAAGATGCAGAAAAGGCCTTAGGCAAAATCCAACACCTTTCATGATAAAAACCCTGAAGAGATTAGGGATAGAAGGCACTCACCTCAATATCAAAAGATATCTGTCTACCTATCTCAGGTCCAAAGATAACATCATACTGAATGGGTAAAAACAGAAAAATGTTTCCACTAAGACCAGGAACAAGACATGATGTTCATTCTCAGCACTCCCATCAAAACAATACTTGAAATTTTAGCCAGAGAAATTGAGCAAGAGAAAGAAATACAGATAGGAAAGGAAAAAGTCAAACTTTCCCTATTTGCAAATGATATGATCCTATACTTTGAAGATCGTAAAAGTCCTTCCAGAAAACTTTTAGAGCTGATAAATTTAATAAAGTAACAGGATACAAAATCAACATACAAAAATCAATATTCTACACACAAATAATGAATTCACTGAGAGAGAAGTCAGGAAATAATCCCATTCACCATGCATTCACAAAATGAAATACTTGAAAATAAACCTAACCAAGGAGGTGCAAGCTCTCTACAATGAAAATCATAGAACCCTAAAAAAGAAACTGAAGAAGCCTCTCAAAGATGAAAAGACCTCCCATGTTCATGGATAGGCAGAATTAACATTGTTAAAACAGCCATATTTCCAAAAGTGATCTACAGAGTCAATGCAATCCCATCAAAACACCCATGATGTACTCACTAGAACTAGAAAAAGCAATCCTAAAATTCACACGGAAGATCAAAGACCAGAAGAGACACAGCAAAAAGAGCAAAGCTGGCGGCATCCCAATACCCAATTTTAGTAATACCTAAAACAGCACAGAACTGGCATAAAACCAGACACGCAGACCCATGGAACAGGACAGAAGACAGTCCTCTCACTCTGCATAAAGGTGCCAAAACATTTCAGTGAAATGCTCTTCAACACATGGTGCTGGGAAGACTGGATAGCCACCTCTCACTCTTATAAAAGTAAACATAAAGTGGATCAAAGACCTAACTGTAAGATCAGAAATATTTCAAATATTAAGAGAAAAAAATAGAGGAAATATTTCAACACATAATCACAGGCAAAGACTTCCTGAAGAAGACCTCTATAGTTCAGGAAATACAGAGAATTGATAAACTGGATGGCATCAAATTAAAAAGCTTCAATATGGAGGTTCCTTGAAAAGCTGCAAACAGATGGGTCCTATGATCCAGCTGTAGCACTCCTTGGTAATTGTCCAACAGAATTCAAGTCAGCTTATCTTAGAGATACATGCATACCTGTGTTCACTGCAGCATGATTCACAATAGCCACATTATGGAATCAGCCTAGTTGCTGTCAACAGATAAATGAACAGAGAAAATGTGCAGGTATGTGTACATACTACATATACACACAGTGGAATTTTATTCAGCCATAAAGACGAATGAAATTATGTCATTTGCAGGAATATAAACGAAACTAGAAAACATAATTTTGAACAAAACAATTCAGACTCATAGAAAAAAGTATTAGATCTTTTCTTTCAAATGTAGAAGAAGTAAAAAACAAGAAAACAGGGGGATTCCCTGAAATTAGAAGGGAGACCAGTAGGAGAGAGAAGGCGACCAGAAGGAGGGAGGGAGGTGGGTGGGGAGGTACTAGGGAGGGAAACTGATCAACTGCGTTTTCATCAATGCACAGTAAAATGTGCCATTCTGTATGATTAATATACACCCAAAATAATGCTAATAATGTAAGATGAAGATATTAAGGGAACTAAGTGGGTAGTTACCAGGAATTTTCTGTAATATCTTTGCAACTTTTTTGTTGATCTAAAATGATTCCAAATAAAAGGTTAAATAAGAAAAAGAGTGACTGGGGCTGGGGATCAGAGGCAGAGCACTTGCCTAGCACATGTGAGGCACTGGGTTTGATCCTTAGCACCACATAAAAATAAAGACATTGTGTCCATAACTACAAAAAAATTTTTAAATAAAAATAAAAACCCTGTTCCCTACAGGGTGAGGGAGAATAATGGGTAAAAGAGACAGGGGTCCAAGCCCCACACCTTTAAATAAATATACCTGGTTTGGGACACTTGGCCTTAAAGCTATGTGAAAATTCTATGTGAAGAGAAAAACAAAATTATGAATATTAATGCAAAACAGTGAAAGAAAAATAAGAATGTCAAATTAGTAAGTATATGCTCATTATTTCCTAACTTTAAAACAGTTATGAATCTGTTCTCATACTTCCCTAATGGGATATACCTTAAGAACAAAAAGAGAGAAATTCCCAACTTGCTGTGCATGCACACTGTGGGAGCACGCACGGCTGGTGCTGCTGGCAGCCGAGATTTGGGGCAGCAAATGGAAGAGGTGCCTGAGCAAAATCAAAGCTCACAGGCAGAACCTTCAGTCCTAAAGCTCAACTGGAAGCATCGGCAGGAACTCAGGACGTATTTTCTTATGCAGAACTGTAAGTCCCTCCTTTGTGCAAGGAAAACTCCCAGAACCCAGGACTACGCCAGAAGCAACAAGCAGCCAGCCAGGCTCTTAGAGAAGGAGCAGCTGCAGGGGAAACACAGGCGGCCTGAACACCTCGTCGCAGCCAAAGAAGTGTGAAGTCCCTGGGCTGCGCTGAAAGGCCTCCAGAAGACAGCTCCTCCAGGCTGGCCCGCCTCTTCTGTGGGGGCTGCAACTCTGGGTAAGCAAAGCCAGGGATGGGGAAGGAGGCTGAAGGGCCATCGTCGCTGCCCTGCACCCCTAATGAGAAACAGCCGTGGCTGCATGAGCAGCAGAGCACCAGGCAGGCACGGCAGAGATCTAAGACCACCCACGACACTCTTACCAAACAGCCTGAATCCACTGGGTCTTCTAGGACAGGTGTCAGGGCACAAAGGGGAAGAACGTGGCAAAACACACCACAGTGGCCCAGCCAACAACGCTGAATGGTGTCACACTCTAGAGGACAACCAGGCCAGCTGCACCACCACACGCGTGTCCGGGGAGGGCTGCAGGCTTGGAGCAGGCGACTGCCGTGCAGGGCGTGATCTGCACCCTGACTCCAACCAACCAACCAGTAAAAAGCTGGGTACTTGGCGACATCAAGGGATCCCTGTTAAGTTCTTCTATATAGGATAATGGGAATTTGTTCATTTGTTTTTTTAAAGAGTCTTCAACTTCTCAAGATACATACACAACATATGTACAGAGGAAACGCCTTCTCTGGATCTGAAAACAGCCGGGAGCAGGTCACGGCAGGCTGAGCCGGTGGCAGCTGAGCAGGTGGGCACAGGGCCTATGCTACGACTACTCCTCCCACTTGTCTAAGGGTCTGACATGAGGAGGAGCGTGCTTGGGAGGAGAACAAGACTGCTTCAGAGCCGCAGGCGTGGAGGGACCTTCGGCTCCAACCCCACAGGTAAGAGAACTGACAAGAAAAGGTCACTGGCACAGAAGCCGCAGCTCCTCCAGCTCCACCTCCTGGGGTGGACCGCCAGCCAGCTGTGCCCTAACGTAGCTGAGCAGACCCCCAGCCAGCGCCCCCCACACAACGGCCACTCACGGCTGACCCTTCCAAAGCACACACAGAGGGGGTGCTCACATGTGCACACCAACACACCAATGGAGGGGTGCATACACGCATGCACAAACATGCGAATACATACGTGTGGACATGCCAACACCCAAGAAGGAACAGACACAAACACACCAACAAACAGGAAACACACATACACAGAAACACACCAACAAAGAGAGGGGGTGCATACATGTACAATGGAACACACCAAGGTGGGGTACACGTGCATACAGGCAAATACACCGACACACAGAGGGGAAGCATATGTGTACATGGGAACACAACAGACCACAGGGGCACAAGAACATACATACAAACACATCAACACACAGGGAGCATGTTAATATGAACATGCCAACACACAGAGAGGAGAACACTCACACACACCAATATGCCAAAAGGGGGGGCACACAACGTGCAAGAAAACACTAAAAGGGGCACGCCCACATTCACGCCAAAACAAACAGCACATGCATACATGAGAACACACAAAACACAGGTATGCACACACATACACATCAACATATCAACATGTGTCGGACAGGTGCATGCGAGCACACAAAAAGAAGGGAACATGCACACAAACATGTCAAAACACAGGGGCACACAGTACATGTGAACACGCCAACACACAGGTTGCACACACACTTACTCTAACACAGGCAGGGAGTACCATCCTATACACAAAATCACCAACACACATGGGACACGGGCACATACACTCAAGCATTCCTATACACAGAGCTGCACACATGAAACATGTAACTACACCAACATGCAAGGGGTGCATGAACATACATAACAAACCAACAGGGTGGACACGCACAGGTGGTAATGTGCCAACACACTGGGCACACACCTGTACACATGAACACATCACCACAGAGGGGGCCACACATGAAAAACCATCACACACAGAGGGTGCACACCCAAACATGCCAACACACACAGGGTGGCCCATACACCTACCCGTGAAAATACCAACACATGGGGGCACACCCATGTAAACAGGAACATAAACACCCATGGGGCACATGCGTACATGCAAAAATCACAAGAGACCACGTGGATGTCCAAACACACCAAAACACAGTAGGGTACATGCATGACACAGGTACAAGCCAACACATTCACAGGGGAGTGCCAATACACGGAGCACATACATGTACACATGAACAGGACTACACACTTACAGGCACACATGCCTGGGAACACTGTAACCACCTGAGGTACACGTTCAGGTCCATGCCAACACAAACGGGGCACACGCACGTATGTGCAAATGTGCCAACAGATAGAACACCTACATGCAAATACACCAACACCGGGCCCCTGGCTCGCACACTCTGATGTGTCACACAGCAGGGACACACTCGCGCCCAGCATCGGGACTCACCGTGCTTCTCGCTGTCCTCCAGCTCCAGCGCTGGCACCTAAGCAAGAAAGGAACCAAGAAAAAAGAAGATGCAGGCAGCTGAATTCTCAGAATGACACTTGTGAACTCAAAAAAGGAAGGATCAAATTAAAGAAAGTAGAAAAGTAACCAAAAAATAGGAAAATTCTGTCTACGTAAGTCTAAAAGCTGGAGCACTGATGTGATGTTTCTGTGTAGTTACTAGAAACACCACCCTTGGTGAACTGACCGTTTCAATTTCAGACATTTCGGAGATCTGAGGGGCAGCCTCCACCACAAACTGATCATCGTCTTCATTGTCTGAATTCTGTGAATCTATAATCACATTTGAGACGGTTTTACCACTCCCTGTCCTAAATAAGAAGACACAAGATCACATCAGCAATGGCCCATCAGTCCCAGGTTTTCCCCAGCCCTGTGCAAGAGGTCACCTAAGAGGAGGTTCACCACCACCCCCCCCCCCCCCCCCCCCCGCCCCAGGGCCTGGCCGCATGGGCACGCCTCCCCCCACGCCCCCTCCCTGCTGCCCAGAGCTCCTGGCCACAGCCAGCCTCCCTCTACCCGCAAAGACCCGTGGCTTCTGCCTCCCCCATGTGTGCCCTACCCAGGCTGCAGCCTCTGCCCTCTGCCTGGAAGGCCTGTTCTCCAGGCACGAACCTCAGGCAGGGGTGGCATGGGCAGCCCCAAGGCCACAGCTGCCCCAGACCTCCCCTCTGCACAAAGCAGCTCCTCAGCGCCCCTCCTCTGGCACCCCGGCCCTGCTTGCCCGTGTCCCCGCCATGGCCTGTATCCCTGCCCAGCACCGACTACACCCTTCCTGTCCACCCAAGTCCTGCCCTTGTTACGAGTCGGCCAACATCCCGCAGCCTGGCCCACCACCTGGACCTCCCAGGTGACCACCCGCTCTCACCCAGGTTCCCTCTGCGGAGGCCCTGGTCGCCTGCAGCTGGGCCATCAGCCCCTGACTTCAGCCCTCCCCAGGTGACCTGGCCAGCATGCTCCAGAGCATCCAGCTGCCACCACTCCAGAGGATGTGCGTGCGCATTCTCGCACACACACCATCCTCCGCTGCTCTCACAGAGAAGCGCCTGGAAACAGGTCTCCATGTGCTGTCTCCTCGCCCTGCCTGGGTTCCACCTGAAACCCACCCTGCCGGAGCCCGCCTGTGGTCTCTGCAGGACTTACGACTTCTGGACAACTGTGTGGCCTTTGGCAATTAAGCCTTGAACCCCTTCCACCCTATTTCACCCTCACTGTTTTCACGCTCAAGTCTTCCATCTAGAGACCACAGACTCGTAGCCCAACATGTCTCCTGAACCTCAAGAAGTGACCACACGCAGACATGTGTCTCTGCTCCTCATCACCTGCCACGCACACTGCTCTGCGGCCTGAGGCAAGGGCCCAGCCTGGCTTTTCTCTTCCACTGCTCACCTGCCCATCTCTTGGTCCAGCCCCAAGGCCCGTCCAACCCACAACACACACACAGTGGAGCGGATAGCCAACCTGTGCAACGGGGCCACCCAGCCAACTCGCCTTACCTGTCCATCGTCAAGGTCTCCACGCCCTCTTGCCGTTTGACCCGGGGAGGCGCCGGTCTAGCACTGCCAGGTCGAGGTATTCTTCTAAACCCACCCAAACAATGGAAAATCAAAAGGACACAAAACGATGAACATTTCACACTGGACAAAAGAAAACTCAGACTCAGGGCAAGGCTAATTCCCATTCCACCTCAACATGCTAGTCAGGAGAGTGACAACACCCATTCACGTGACCCAGCTACCGACAGTCAGTACTCAGCCCATCTCCCAAAACCCACTCTGCACTACGTGCAGTTACACAGCTCAGGAACAGAAAAACCACAGAAGCGATGTAGGCTGCCTTCAATGCACACGATTCCACCTACTTCAGCTCAAGCACTGAGGAGCCGGCAGGGCGCCACAGCAGGCCCCTAGCTGGCACTCCTCTCCGGCAGCAGAAAGCACACACCTGACACTGGAGGACAGCTCGCTGGGGGCTTCTGGATTCTCGCACACCTCGGATTTATCTTGGCCAGTAGCTCCAGTATCTCCTTCTAAACAGGTACAATCCAGCCAGCAATTCAGAGAAAGAAACACAAAGAACAAGTGATATTTAATTCAAGATTAATTAAAATATATTTAATTCGAATATAAATATTAATTCAAACATAAGTATTTGAAAAAGCAGCAAACAATTCCAAGTATAAATGAACTATTTTCTCATCCACCATTTTAATGAAGATAAGACAGACATGATATCTAAATTTAGTGAAGATTTGGGGAAATGATGTACTGAAACTCCAGAACAAACTGGTTCAGCTACTCAAGAAATAAAACTCAAAATATAGGTACAATTTAACTTAAAGGAAATACAAACTAAGAAAAGCAATGGCCAGGCGTAGATGTACATCTGTCCAGATGCACACCCCGTCAACAGGATGGCTCGGTGACTAAGTCCATCATGTTACCATCATATGCTAGGCCCTTGTGTGCGAAACCACATTATCATGTTAATGTATGATGAATAACAGCACTTCAATAGCTTAGTAATCATGTCTACACTCACGGGGTCCCAGAGGAGATTAAGTTACAAGCAATGGAATTACCAGTGCTTTTTATTTTTACCTTCAGCTTTTTCTTCATTTTTAAATTTTCTACAGTATTTTTATAACCTGAATAAGTTTTCTTCACATTAGTTAAAAAAGATTGAATCAGCAAGTTACAAGCCAAACTACTAAGACAAATTTACTCCATTATTGAAAGAAATTTCCACTTTAAAAAGTAGTAAAAACATCAAAATCTGAAAATTGGGAATGTACAATATACTCTGAGGAAAGAAACATCCTGAAATGTATTCTTTTCAGGTGACTCACACACGTGGATTCCCACACGCCCATCACACCTTCAGTTGGTGCTGCAGTTGGGACCTGGACGCTCCCCCAGGCCCATGTGTTGAGGACATGCACAGTTGGGCATTGGTGAAAACTCCGAGGACCTCCCATCACTGGGGACATGTCCTTGAAGGGGACCCTGGTCCCCTCTTTTTGCTCCTCAGCCACGAGGTGAGCAGCTTTGACCCCCCATGAGTTCCTGCTATAACATGCTATCTTGTAACAGGCCCAAAGCAACAAGGCCAATTGATCTTGGACTGACATCTCCGACACCATGATCCAAAGTAAACCTTTTATCTCCATAAGTTGATTATCATCTTAGGTATTCGTCAGCTAACAGAAAGTTGACAAACAAAATTGATAACTAAATAGTTAAGATATATTTCCTCAAAATAAATTACTTTCACTAGTGCAGTGTGTAAAGCAGATTTGAAATGTTTTTTACCCACACACAGACACAATACACCAAGTATACTTAAAGCCATTCTCACCTGCATCACTGATGGAGTCACCTAAAAAAAAAAAAAAAAAGCACAAGAAAAAATTAATTTTCGCGTTAGTAAACCTCAATGCATCAAGTGGCCTGAACAGAATTGGAGGAGACACGTCCTGAGTTTGGACATCTATTGGGAAAGAGGCCATTTCCTGGCAGCCCTTCCTAGTGCCCCGGCTGCCGTCTCCTGCTATTTTCGACTGTGAATCATAAAATGCACTCCCATGAAAGCCGGAAGCAGGGATGTGAAGAGTGTATCACAGACAGAAACGAGGTAAAGCCCTACAGCCAGGAGGCCCTGGGAAGTGCCATCAGACAGCTCAGGTGGGTGCCAAGACGCTACACAGAACCAGGTGAGCTCGGCCATGCACCAGCTCTCTGAGGCCATCTCCCAGCCACACTCCACTGCCCCAGGGTCCCTTCTCGAGTGCTACGCCTGGGGACACATGTGGCCCAAGCAGTCACAGGCAAGCAGCAGTGCCACAGGGCAGGGCAGGAGTGGATTCAAAGCTGAGATGAATCATCTTTTCATGACACTTTTTAAATACACGAACACACACGTATGGAAGGGCCGACACCAGGTGCATTTCCACGCTAGCCCCGACATCAGGTGGGGCAGAGTGACCAGCAATCATCCGCACCCAACCTCTAGCCAGGCCCAGTCCCACCCAGGCACGCAGGGATCAGACCCACTCGCAGAGTGCAAGCGCTCCCCGGACACCCCGGGTCCACCTGCCCCTGGACTTCCCGTGAACACTACAGCCTGAGAGCCCTCGAAGGGGTAGCTCTGGGCAGGGCAGCGAGCTCAGAGAGCAGCAGGATTTCTATTTGGGGACCATCTATGGCAGCCCCAGAGTCATGAATGCTGCCACTTGCCCTCACGCAGGATGCCGCCTGTTACCAGCAGTGGCCTCTGTCACTCATGGGAAAAGCCCCAGGGGAAACCCCAGGCCCAGCTGCACCCATGGGAGCAGGCATAGTGTCTGGCAATGGCTGACCCTGGGGCAGTCTCCTCCCACCAGCAAGGTGCACACGGGCCGTTCTTACCTTTCTGCTTTACTGCTGGGTCGGGCTCAACGCTCTCACGCCACAGAGTAGTGGAGTTATCATCTGAAACAATAGTTGAGTTAGTAATGGTTTCTTTGGTTCCTGACATAAAACAGTTTAAAATCGGTCACTCAGACTGTACCCTGAAGGGCTGGTGATCAGTGGCATCCCAAGCCCTCTGGGTTAGGGCTAACCAGAGCTCACACGCCCACCTTTCCCCATGCTGCAAGTTGACCAAACTGACAAAGGCAGTTTTGAAAACACATCTAGAATGTTCCTCCTGCACTGTGGCTCTGGGATTGGGCACCAGACTGTGAGCAGGCCCCTCCCAGCCCACTGACCGAGGAGGGACTCTTGGGCCTCCCTGGGCAAAGCAGCCCGCATCCACCTCCACTTCTAGAACCACTCGGACCCACAGAACCACTTGGTTCTGCTGGCTCCCACCATAGTCAGGCCCAGGAGCCGGCTGTTCCAGGAAAGCAGGAGGAAAAGAAAGGTATCCTGACACATGTACTATCCTAGACATACTGAGAATCACAAAACAGGGGTCTCATCACTGTGCTCTGAAGTCTTGAAAATAGAAAAGAAATTGAATACCTGAGAAATAAAATAAAATATTTCCCTATTAAAAACAAAAAGGGCACAGGAGATGCTGGAGGAAGAGGTTTTGAATTATGGCAGGACCCAGAGCTGAAAAACTGACCCATGGTCCAAGACACACCACTGTCTAAATAAAGATGAAACTGGAAAAACATCCCCAAAACCCAATCCTAGATGTCTTAAAACCATTTAAAGAAATAGCTTACATCAGAATCAACCCGTCATTAACTAGCAAATAACTGCTTTATTTAGATAATAGAATTACATTAAATTGATGATATTTTTAAAATATTTTTTTTTAGTTGTAGATAGACCCAATATCTTCACTTCATTTATTTGTATGTGGTATTAAGGATCGAACCCAGTGTCTCACTCAAGCTAGGGAAGTGCCGTACCACTGAGCCACCACCCCAGCCACATGACATACAGTTTTGTAAGGAAATCTCTGTAAAAATTATGTTGATTTAAACAGTCTAACAGCTAATTACTTATGATGTTTCCTAAAGGGTAGCCAAAGAATGAATATAAAATATTAAGATCTAAAAATAAATATGTTTGGCAGTTGTACATTTGTCAATTTTAGAATGAAGCACTCTAATAAACGTAAGTTGTCATATTTTAGTTAAAAGTGTCAAAGATGTTCTATTTATTTACTTATTTATTTGCAGTACTGGGGATTAAGCTCAGGGGCACTCTACCCCTGAGTCACACACACTCAACACGTCATTTTTTTACGCTGAGACAGGCCCTCACTAAGTTGCTGAGGTTGGCCTTGAACATGCGACCCTCCTGCCACAGCTCCCCAAGTTGCTGAGGTGTGTACAACTGGGCGCAGCAAAGATTCTCTGAATTCTATAGAACCCAGGATCGTAGAAGGTAGATGCAAATGCACTGTCTTCTGTCTGGAGTTCAAGGGGATGAATTTATCTTTTCCAAGTTCTAGTGAACTTAAATAAGCTTTACTAAACCCCAAGTTCCCACAAACACAAAGGACATACAAATAGGCTATATACTCACTAAAAACACTAGAATCAATTTTTACTCACAAAGGGCAAATCAACCAGTTTATTGAATAATACTTTTAAAAGACTAAAATAATGCACTTATTAAGAAATCAAAGTTACTCTGCAGGGTAAAACAATCATTGCCTCAGCACAATCTGCTATCTGGAACTATCTGGTGAGCAAGAAATCCCACAGGGAAGGACAGGGCCTTGGCACCAGACTTCCCAAGTTCAGACCCTGGGGCTGTCACTGGACACAGACCTGAGTTGCAGTCCATCAGGTCCTGCGACCGAAACCAGCCGCTGGATGGCTGCCCACAGAGCCGCTGCAGGCAGTCCCGACAGTCCGCCTTCTGCAGCGGCCTCACAGACTGCAGCCTCGTCGATTTGCTACTAAATGTCCTCACAGAACCAGGGGTTTTTAAACATGAAAACCATTTTGGAACAAAAATGGTTACTATTGGGAAATTATGATTCTTTCAGTGAGGTAAGAATTCTGTGGCTATGTAGACTACCTCATTTTATTTTTTGAGCTGCATGCTGAAGTATTTTAAAATATATTATTAGGATGTTGCAATATGCCTTGAAATCATTCATAAAAATATAGAGCTAAAGTGAAGCATAATGTTGGAACCACTCAGCCTGGGTGAGTGCCTGAGTGTGAATTGCACTCTTCTTTCTGCTTTCTTGTATTTTTCATGATAAAAAAAACTGGGGATATAGGTCAGTGATACAGCGCTCGCCTAGCATGCATGTGCGAGGCCTTGTGTTCAATCCTCAGCACCACATAAAAATATATAAACTAAATAAAGGTGTTGTATCCAACTACATCTAAAAAATAAATATATTTTTTAAAACAAACTTAAACCATGCAACAAAAAGGAAAGAGGGCAGGAAGACCACGAGTTCAAAGCCAGCCTCAGCAAAAGCGAGGCGCTAAGCAACTCAGTGAGACCCTGTCTCTAAATAAAGTACAAAATAGGGCTGGGAGTGTGGCTCAGTGGTCCAGTGCCCCTGAGTTCAATTCCTGGTACCAAAAAAAAAAAAAAAAAAAAAGGAAATGAGAGAAACTAAGCAAAAGAAAGGTACAGTTTACATTCCAGAGAACTTGGAATTGTCATAGGTTAAGAAAAGGCACAGCCTATAGCTGGCATTACAACATGGAGAGCAGGAAGAAACCATTCACACTTTAAAAAGGAACAGTTGAGTGCCTTTTTGAACTCTTCACCCAAAATGCAAAATGCTAAAAACAAGACCCACAAGTTCTCTTCGGACAACCTGAGGCAGCAGGGTCAGCGGGCCTGGCAGGCCCCAGCACAGGCCCAGCGTCTCGGCGTCTCAGCTGCATTAGCACACCACAGCTGCCTGCACCTGTTTTTCCCTTTTTGGCCCTGGGGATTGAACCCAGCGTGCTCTGACATCCCCCACCCCACTGTTGTTTGTTTGGTTTCTTTTTTGAGAAAAGGTGTCACTAAGTTGCCCAGATTGGCCTTGAACTTGCAATCCTCCTAACTCAGCCTCCTGAGTTGCCGGGATTACAGTGTGGCCAGCACTCTGGCCAACATAGCCGCTTTCCTTTCCTCTGAAGTATTTAGGAATGAGAGGTAACAGACCAGGGCAGGGAGCCTGGGAACCATGCTCAGCGCTAGAAACAACTGCTTGCAGCCTCTGAGTTCCAGGAGTTCCCAACAGCACCCACAGAGCAGCAGGGTGACTGTGAAGGCACCCCAGCCCAAAGAGAAGGGTTGGGGAGGAAAAAGAGGGACCAGGGTCTCTCCCAGCCCCGGGGGCACATGTGAGCAGGGCTATGCTCCCCGCTGGACAACCAAGCTTCATTCTCACCCACAAAACACCCCACTGAGAAACAAGGTTTGCAGTGTGCACCTCTTCACGCCCCAGGTTACACTATTTTCACACTTGTAGATAAAATCCATGAAATGCTCAATACACGCCTGGTGGACAACTTCAACCTGTGTTAAAGTCCACAAGCTCTGATTCAGCCTGATCAGGGGCTGTCTGTTCAGCTAGTGACCTGTCACACAGCACGCCTGTCACTCAGCTGCTGTCCAGACACCAGCCCGCTCAAACTCAAGGCGGGCATTTGTACAACCATCTGCGATGAGCACACTGTGGTTCGGAGGACCCATCCGTGCATGTGCTCCAGGCCAGGAGGTAGTGAGTGGGAAAGGTGTGAACGTGGTGTCCCCAGCTACACTGACACAGGTCACTCCATGGCCTACCAACTGCCATTCCTCCAAGCCTTCACCACTGCCCTCACCCTCTCCTGCAGCACAGGACACCTGGCCAGCTCCCCCACAGGAGCCTGGAGACGAAAAAAGGTCCCTTAAAAATAAGATCCAGTACAAGATGGGGCTGAACTGTGACGCACATGTGCACAGTGGAGTGAGACCCAGCACGGCCTGCGGGCTTCCGCACCACGCCCGCCACACCAAGGCATCAGCCACTCACAGCACCCCTCCCAGCGAGGGAAGTCCTCGAAGACACCACGCAGAGAAGGCCCCTCGCCATTCTAGCCACGTTTCCAGAGTCTTAAAAATGCAGATGGAAACAAAAACTTCTGTCTTCTCCTAGAAGAAATCTACACTATTTTTTCTCTTGAATACAACTCAAAAATTCTAATATTTCTGAAGAATTTGGTCTCGGGACACAGAAGACTGGCGGGACTGATATTTCATTGAGGGCTGCCCACCCACGCGCAGCGGCACACCATCAGTGCTGGCTGTGAACGGGCGAGTGCAGTGTGTTGCAGACGTGCTGCCTAAAATCTTTATTGTGGAGAAATTCTAGCAGCACAGTAGGCTAAAGATTAAAAAAAAAATTCCAATAGCAAAATTAAGAATGCACTTTGACATAAAAAAAATAGAAGTTAAACATAAAAATACATGTAAAGATTAACTTAAAGCTGTCACAATGGAGCAAAATTAAAGAAAATAAAACATCAAGTCATTTCTGATCTTCAGCACAATGTTAAAAAAATCTGACAAACACTGGAGTGGTAAGAATAATACAAAAAAACTTAGAACTACACCAAGATGTCGCAACTGTACATCAAGGTGTCGAGGAACTTAAACTAGAGAATACCTTTTTCTTACCTATTTCTGAAGCTGTAGTTTCCTGATCTGGTTCGTCATTTAATCCAGACGTTACGGGGTCTAAACTTTTACCTGAAATATTATCCTCCTTCCTTCCTGACATAAAATAGTTAACAACAGATTAACATATTACAAAGCTTTCAGTATCTGTTTGCTTTAGTTGGGATTTATAGGGGTCTGGGTCAAGGCCACCAAAACACCACCATGTCCTCTCAGTGGTCCACTCTCAGCCTCCACTTGGTTCCCATAGACTGGACAGAAGTCCCCTCCCCTCCATGAGACGCCCTCCCCACATCCAGGACAGCCTCTCCTAACAGCAGCCCTGTCCTCTGCCCCCTGCCCTGGAGTCCCGTCCCCCGCAGAGCTCAACACACCCTGTTCCCCCAAAGCCACAGCTGTAAACATCGTCATGGCCAGAACCTCAGGTGTGTCACCTCCAACCTCTGCGACTCTCCCTGATCACAGGTCACACATCCCACCGTCTACAAAGACCTCCGCGTGCGCAGTCAGACCTGTGTTCTGGTACAGCCGCCCACACAGCAGCCTGCCATTTCAAGCGGCACTGCGCAGGTGCCCAGAACCCCCCAAAGCGGTCTTCTCTCGGATTCCTCTCATTGAAACAAGTGGTACCCCGTCCATCGGCACAGCCGTCGTCCTCTCTCCTGCCCCTCACACCCTGAACCCCACTGCTGTCGCCACCGACACCTGGTCCAAGCCACCACACTCCCCATCCAGTCGCCACGAGCTCCTCGCTGTCCCAGGCCTCCACTCCTGCCCTCCAATCTTACAAGGAGGCCCTTTAAAACACACACCCTAACTCTGTCCTCTGTCTGTCCTGCTCAAAGCCCTCCAGGTCTTCCAGCCACCAGCCACCTGTAGACACAGGGCAGAGGCCCCAGGCCCCTGCTGGGGCAGCCCCTCCCCCAACACTGCCCCTCCTGCCTCTCCAGCTCCCCGGCTGGGCCTCCTGCCTTGCATGCAGCAAGTCCAGCAGCTCAGGTCTCTGCTCAGGATCCCTGGACACCTGCAGGTCCTCCTCCCCAGCGTGTCCCCAGACAGAGGCCCTCCCTGCCTTCCCTTCCTCCTGCTTCTCCTGGCTTTCTTTTTCACTAAAAATCCTCATCACTAATCAACATGAATACAGGCACCCTCTCGGCTCCTCATGAGTATAAATGTCTTCCAAATAAAGAAAGGAAGGCTGCACTGGACAATTTCAGTCCCAGGCAGACTTAGGGTAGCACACCCTTGGCTGCGGAGAACAGCCCTGTGGCCCAGGAGCAGCTGTCCTCCTGCCCTCCTCCACTCTGACCAGGCCCACGTGACCCTCTGAGGCTCCCCTGCTCTGTGATGGCGCTGAGGCAGAGAATCAGGTGGCGAACAACTGCCCCCGGCGGACACGCGCTCTCAGTCCCACTATGGCTTAGTCTTACCGAGCTGTTTCCCAGCATGCTCCTTCTTAGCTTTACTGTAGGAAGAGTTACGTTCTTTTTCTGGGGAAAGACTGTGTTCACTGGTTCTAGAGTCCCTTCTTCCTGACATGAAATTGCACAACGAAAACATGTATTACACTTAACTTGTAATGCTGCATAGTTACCAAATGAATGAAACCAAACACACTAATTCCAAGTTATGACTTCCTTTAGAACACACTCCTCATGAGTTAGCAAAAATTATCCTACTCTTCTGTGGACTGGCCTTGGGTTCTGTAGGCTAGTACGGCTGTCCACATTCATCCTATGAACATGTGCCATACTCTAGTAGATGCAGGGCACAGAGGTCCCATGCCTTGAGCACCCCCGGGTCCAGATACCAACCCACCCAAGCAAGGCCAAAGGTTTGGGCCGAGCACCAGCTCTGCTGGGGCAGACTTGGGCCAGGTCAGTGCCTGGCCAGCCAGCAGCAAAAACAGGAGCCCCTGAACTGCTGACCGCTAAGAAGCTCACTGCCGTCAAGGGTGCAGTCTCCAATAGAAAACTCTTGAAAAGCACCCAGAAAGAAAGAGCCCACGGCAGAAGGCGGCCGTACACACAGACGAAGGAACACCCTGCCTGTCAGAGATGGAGATGCCTCAGCTGTGAGCTCGGGAAACCCGAAGAAGCAACCAAGATCCCTTGGATCAGGATGAGCAGCAAGGCTAGAGTTCAGATAGTGAGAGCAGTCAGTGAAACCAACAAGCCACTAACAACCAGGGGGGAAGACAGCATCTCCAAACACGAAAACAGACAACGACTGAGCCACCACCTGGACAGACCCTGCAGACTGCAGCTGGAGGCAGCCACCCTCTGAGAAGTGGCTGCTCCCTTTGCAGGGGGCTCTTGAGTCATGTGGCAATTTTAAAATTCATCTGAACAGATAAGCAAGTAAAATGGCTTAAAACTTTTCTGAAAAGAACACTGACAAGAAACAGTAGTGAAACAGAGACCAGTGAAAGTGGAAAGCGAACAAGATCCCAGACCTTGACGGGTGCAACTAAGCCATCAGGCAGAAAGGCACCCTTAATTAGCAAGTGATCCTGGCACAGCAGGCAAAGAATTCTAAAAAAATAAGTCAGCGCCTTGGCATATGCCAGGAATGAAAGTAAGAGATGAATACAAAGACTCAATATTAAAATGTATGCTAAAACACAAATCTTCAAGTCACAAATCTTTACACAAATTACCAAAAGCTTCAAGCACATAAAATTAAGCACTCAGGCAAATCCAAAACCAAACTGAACATAATTAGTACAAATGAAGCGCAAAAATATAAAAAACACACTTACTTAAAAATTGGCTGAGGTCCTTAACATACAAAGAGTTCACACAAAATAACAAGAACTCTTGCATCTCCAGACAGTCAATGAGGAATCAGGAAAGAACAGACAAATCCAAGACCCCAATCAAAACTAGGGACACACATGAAAAAAATGCAATCTCACTAGGAATTAAACTTCCCAATTTTTTGTCTATCAAAATCAGAAAGCCTTGGGGCTGGGGCTGGGGCTGAGCAGTAGCGCACTTGCCTGGCATGTGTGAGGCACTGGGTTCGATTCCTAGCAGCACGTATAAATAAATAAAATAATATCTATCAATAACTAAAAATATATTTAAAAAAAAAATCAGAAAGCCTTGCCGGGCGCAGTGGCACACACCTGTAATCTCAATGGCTTGGGAGGCTGAGACAAGAGGACTGCAAGTTCAAAGCCAGCCTCAGGAAAAGCAAAGCGCTAAGCAACTCAGTGAGACCTTGTCTCTAAATAAAATACAAAACAGGGCTGGGATGTGGCTCAGTGGTCGAGTGCCAGTACCCACCAAAAAAATCAGCCTTTAAAACACTGGAGGGTGGGCAGAGGGCACCTATAGAGGAGCCCCGTGCCAGCGCTCACTCCTCTGGGCTGGGACAGGGCACCACCAAGAGGACGTCCCTAGAGCATCACTGACTGACTGTTGGGAAGGGACAGATCTTATGTAAGTTCACTTCTGGATAATTCCAACTACCACGCTGTCCCACACTAACCTACAGGATTCGGGAAAGCGTGGCGTTTCAGAAACCACTACTGCTCTTCAGAGCCTCCAGCAAGAGCGGCTCTGGCCAGCACAGCCCTGAATTCCCTGCCTCTCTGGTCCTACTGCTGGTGTGTCACAGTAACGTTCCATTTTCAGCCAAATCCCAGGCCAGACCTGTGAGCGTAGCTTTCTGCATGAGTCCAGTGCTCACTCCTGCTATTTTTAACCACAGGCACATATGTCATCTGCCTGCGTGCTCTTCATGCCCAATGGGAAAGACAAGAACCCTGCAACCCGACGACCAACACACACTCTGGAAAACGAAAATCCAATCACCCCCTTTAAGTTCCAGCATAGATCTGCAGCAAAAGGGGCGGCTTTGCCCTGAGTGGTGTGAGTTCACACAAGTGTGTACACATGCGTTCTCCCCACTGTTTGTTCCCAGGCACGGCAGACCCGTGACCAGCCACGAGTCTGCTACCAAAGAATGGGACGAAGGCAACAGAGCTCAGACCCACATCTGCAGCCACAGTCAGCTCGGCAGTACCTTCCACTGAAGTTTTGGATCTTCGTTTTGATGTTTTTGATGTCAATGACCGGGACGCTGTCGTGGAAAACTCAGCCTTAGAGAGAAGAAAAGACAAAAATCAATGGAAGCTTCACACAGCAATACCACCAGACTCATTGTTCAAGCTCTGCCCAAGGAAACCAAGTATGAAAACAGCAGCAGCAGCACAGGCTTTAGGGGACTTGCCACACGGTGCAGTTACATGCTCGGGACCTGAGAAGGAGTCCAGACCTCTTCCAGCCTCCACACAGGCTTCTCTGTGCAGCCCCAGGCAGCTCAGCAATCTGCTAAGGGCGCTCGAGAAACACTGCCTGTCACACGTGCTTAATGCCGGTCACAGCTGTCAGAGGACTGCAAGGCCCAATGCCCTGGAGGGCACTTGCTCACACTGAGATGCCAGTGGGACGAATGTGGGACCAGTGTGGGACCACCTCTGGATGTGCAGTCCGCCACTGAGACACTGCCATGTGACACACGACTGTACTGAACTACTTAAATGCATTTGTATGCCACTCTGAAAGTAAAACCTCTCACCTTGTGTTTCTAGAGAACACAGTGGGAGAAGGCAGCACAGCCCCCCGCCCGCCCTTGACATGATTCCACTCTCACACCCTCTCCCCAGAGCAGCCCCGGTGGCCCCCAGCCCTCGTGCGGCTGACTCCATGTCCCTACTGTCAGACAATTATGGAAGTCAGCTAAGCTCTCAAGGGCCCCTTCTGCCAACCTCTACAGCATGGCCTCACGGGGACGACAGGCCACGAGCGGACCTCAGCCACAGGAAACACTGTGGGGTCCCAAGAGTTGCCAGGCCGAGCTGAGCGAGCGCCTCAGCGGGCACTCCCTTCCCCACCAGCCCCCAACTCAGTCCTCTTCCCGACTCACCCCGAGTGCCCCTGTCACCACCTCCCCTCAGCACCACACATCACACTCACCAAAGGTGCAGGCCCAGAAACCACCCGACACGTGCCAGGAGGTATGCCACGCCACCATTCCTGAGACAGCCTTTCCCCAGCCACAGCCCCACTGGTCCAGGGAGGACACACATCCACGACCCAACTCCAGTTCACAGCTCTGGAAACTGCTGTTTAAACTCTACCTCTGTTTCCACCTTGGAGTCTTTAAAGGATCCATCTGAAAACTTCTTAGATATCTCCCCTGAACTTGCTGACTGTAAAAAAAAAATATATATATATATATATATATATATATATTTTCCTTCAAATTTTGGAAATATTCACATCTGTAATACCTAAAAACAAATCAAGCTCTGGTCCATGATACTGACGTACAAACAAGCAACCCTTTGCACAGACCGGAGCAGCCCGTCCGGTCACTGCTGCTGGAACCTCAGTGCTCCTGGCGAGCAGCACCGGGGCTAGGACACCAAACACTCCTGCCTGGCAGGGGACTACGCAGAGGCCAAGCCCCCGACCATGACAGCCCAGGAGATGCAGAAATGGGATGGGATGAATTTAAACTCCAGGGCCCACAAAATATTTGTCCGTCTTCTGATATTTGAGCATCTTCTAATAACGGGGCAACCGGAATGACGTGACTCTTCATAAGCAAAGGCTGCAGACAGACAGTCAGGAAGGCACCCTCCTAAGCCACATGACTCCTGTCAACGCCATCTACACATCTGGACACAGGATGTCAAAGGACACCCGTTTAGTATTTCAACAATGAAACATGCTCTTCAGACAGACACATCAGATGGTACAGGTGGTCATCACCCAAGGTCAGGGGGCCCAGCAGGTGCCACACTCATGTGCTCACCATGTAGGGTGACATCTGGGGCTCATGGACAGCCAGTCTAACCTGGCACCTGGGCTCCAGCCACCACACCATACCCCCATAGCACTCCTGACTTCTCAGGATGCCTCCGTCTCTATCTTACCATCCTCCACACAAACCATGGGCAGGCCAGGTGCACACCTATAACCTGAGCAACTCACAGGAGGCTGAGGCAGGAGGGTGGCAAGTCCCAGATCAGTCTCAGCAACTTAGTGAGACCCAGTCTCCAAAGAAAAATAAAAAGGGCTGGGGATGTGGCTCAGTAGTGGAGTGCTTGCCAGCGTCATGCAAGGCCCTGAGCTAACCCCCCAGGACTGCCAATAAAATAAAAGAAAGAATTTGCCTGGGCAGCGTGCGTACTCCTGTGGCCCTCCCTCCAAGACAGTCAGGCTTTGGCCAGAGCGGGCAGTGATGTCGCACTGCAGGGCCTGAACTGCCATCTCCTGCCTCCACTAAGGACTGACATCCTCAGGGCCATTTTACAAGTCACTTGAACCAGGTTCTTTGAGAGGCACCTCATGGCAGCTCATTCCTGCATGGCGCTTCTGACCAGGAGACCTTGCTGCTGTTGTCCAGATCAGCAGAGCTAACAAAGACACCCCAGATTCACAAAGGCCAGGCAAACAGAATCCCTGAAAGACCTAAGCAAATCCACTGCACCTCACTGTGGTCTCTAGCCCTTCTCAACAAAACCATCTTTCCCACTTGGCTCTCACACATCCCAAACATCAGCCTGCAAACATTTCTCTTTAGAATTTTCTTTCTCTCTATTAAAGCGACTAATCGCAGCATTGGCAATTTCAGTGAACTCAATGTGGGAGGCTCTATCTGAAGACCCCCAATTGCTGAGGAGGCTGTCCACTCAGGGGCTGTCTCATGCACACAAAAAATATACCAGAACATGCCAGCACCTACAAATATACCAGAACACGCCAGCTGCAAAAAGCAGATCAGGGCGAAATACTTTTTCTCAGGCTGCTAAAAAGTGGTAAAGAGGGAGGCTGCACTCTCACCCTCCAGGGCCCCCAGGTCTTTATGGCACAGAACCAGGGTGTGTTAGTTACTCCAGACGTGAATGGAGGGAAAGCGATACTATGAAGACTACAACCTGACAGTCCCCCCTAGAATACCGATTTCAAATGCTAACAAAACCACATCTTTTTGGATAGGTGCCCCCTTGCTTGCTGCAGCGGGCAGAGAAAAGTTTATACCGACTTGCAGAGAAAAACCAGTTTACAGACTTCCAGCAAGGTCAGTCCTGTGGAGCCCACTCCCAGGGACAGGGATGCCCCAGAGGCAGCACTACTGAACAAGACGGCCAGTGGGGCAGGGAGCTGGAGGCCAGCACAGGCCTTGCCTCTCACTGCCCAGCTGCATCACCTGGGCAGTCCAGGAGCCAGGCCAGACCTCTGCCTCCCCTGCCAGCAGCCACAGACCAGACGACTGTCCTGTCTTCCCAGGATGATGTCCCACAAGAAGGGCATCTAGAAAGGCAACTTGCACATTTAGAAGTCACAGTCTGAAACTCAAGGCTTCTGGCCAGTCGTAAAGTTACCTGAAAATTCCATTAAACAAGAATGACAGGGGCTGGGGTGGTGGCTCAGCGGTAGAGCACTCGCCTAGCACGTGCGAGGCCCTGGATTCCATCCTCAGCACCACATAAAATAAATAAACAAAATAAAGTACTGTGTCCAACTACAACTAATAAATAAACAAATAAATACATATCAAAAGGATGACAGTAACCTGAAGTCTTACTGTACCGATCTGCCAGTGTCCAAAAGACTTGGTGTCTCTACTCCTTAACAAACTCAGTAGTGCCGAGCTCCAGAGACCACACGGCCACTGACCCTGCCGAAACGCCACCGCCAATGACACCAGGGACCAGCTCCACCAAACACAAGTGCAGGCCATGTCACAGAGGTGCAAAGCAACATATCTCGGCACATCTGGCAAGATGACAAGGGCAACTGGGCAAATGAACTCAACCCCTGAAAACAGAAGCAGCTCACAAAGAGCGAGCGCCCCGCGGTCTTTTCCCAGCTTCCTCCAAGCCACCTCCCGCCACCCCCAGAGCAGCGCTCCTCACAAAGAGGCCCAGGAAGGCCTGTGACTGTCCTGCCACCCGGGGTTCACTGGTCTGAAGACCCCGCCAGCCCGGCCTGGTCCTCTGGGCCCCCGGGGGGCCACCACACCATGCTCTTCAAGGATGGCCATGCGTTTACAACCAGGCCCTGGCAGAACCGTGACCTGGCGGGCTCCCACCAGGAATCGCAGTTTTACACCGTCGCGGAAGGAAACCCTCAGGAACGGCCGGCTCCCCCCAAAAAGCCAGCTCCCAGGCCGGTACCTTTCTCTCCAGCTTCTCCTGCTCTCGGTTCTTCTCCCTGTCAGGGTCCCGGGAGTGCTCCCCGTTTCTCGCTCTCCGCCGCTCCCGGTCCTTGCCCTGGTCGCGGTCGCGCTCCCGGTCTCTCAGCCGCTCCTTCTCCCGCCCTGCCTCGCCCCTCCTCTCCCGCTCCTTGTCCCCGTCTGCGTCTCTGTCCTTGTTGCCTCTGTCTCTGTCCCTCTGTCGCTCCTGCCTGGCCCTGCTCTTGCTTTGCTCCTTCTCCCCTTCCCGGTACTTGTCTCTCTCCGCGTCTTTGTGTCGGTCTCGGTCATTGTCCCTCATCTTCTCCTTGCCCCTTTCTTTTTCTCTTGATTTGCTTTCTTCTTTCAGTTCTCCTCTCTGTTTTCCATCTCTGCTTGTACTTCTCTCTTTTACTTCTGAATTTCTTCTATCCTAAAAATATATGTATATATAAATATAAACGTTTTTACCTAAACTCCAAAAAGACCGTTTCATTCCTAAAGATGCGCCACTGCAGTCACCTCTCTCTCTCTGTGAGCTCTCGGGTCGTCTTCCCTCACATTCTTATTGTCCGACTCGTGAGGCTTGGAGGTCCGGGAGGCCCTTCCTCTCGCGTCCGCCTTCTCTCCAGCCAGAACTCTCCGCACTGCGTCCTCGCTGGAGAGCTTTTTCCACAGGCCAGGAGGTGAAGGCAAGGCAAAAACGAGATCAGCACAGGCAACAACACAAACGCCAGCAAGGGGAGTTCATTCGACAGATTTTGTATGAGTAAAATTTGAATGAAATATTAAAAGAAAATGTCATTATCACAGACAAAGCCCTGTGTCTCCTGATCACTATGACTAATGATTCATCACTAAGTCCTGGTCCAGTCCCACCTATGCTGCCCAGGGTGGACGTGAGTGTGGTTCAGGAGCAGTAAAGCTGAAAACCAACAACTCACAAACCTCTCCACCTCCACTGGGATCAGGGCCCTAGCAGAAAGGGCCTTCAGAGGTGACTCGACCACCTCATTCCCTAAAAACTAGCACACTCTGAGGCTAGGACACCAAGAGGTGGAGCAAGCCCAGTGCAGGCCTGTGGTGCCTGGAGTAGGGGGCACAGGTGTGGGAGGCAAGGACGGAAGTTGAGGAGCAGCTCCTACAGCGCCCCTCGCCCTGGGCAGGTAAAACGCTGTCCTCAAAGGAGGCAGCACCAGCTTCAAAAGACAGCTTTGGGCCGCCAGGCCAAAAGCAAAGCACCCACGAGGCCCCACATACTACAGAAAGCCTGCCATCCTGTGTTTTGCAGGCCCTGGCTCACAATCACAGAAGCTCCTCCTGCACCTCCAAGCTCCAGAATACTTGGGACCCAACTCAAAGTGCAAGGGTCAATGGGTACCACTGGAACTCCCCCTTAAACACCTCCCACGATATTTAAGTCACTCACTCCCCCTCCACTTCTTGCCACTCAGCACTACTAAGTTTAAAATGCCAGTGCTGCAGTGTCACCGTGTGGATGCAGCACTTTCCAATGATCTGAAGCAGCGTTACCTTGTTGATGCAGCACTTTGCAATTATCTGAAGCAGCTCGTTTGTTCTTTCAGGCTCGTGCCCGGCCACGATTCGGGCTGGTTTTGCCAACAAAGGCTCTCCTGAAACCATCATGACCACATCTATGGCCTTCTGGAGGAAGCTAATTTTTGCATCTTTATCCTGAAATGTTTCCATTAAAATAGAAATATTAACATACTTCAAAGAGTTTGCATTATCCTCAGAATGTTTGAAAGACATGGGATAGATCCTCTTTATAGAAAAAGCAATTTTTAGGTATATGACAAATTTAGAAATACTGACCTTTTATAACACAACAAAATTCATGAAAGCTATTAAGTTACCTGAGGGGCTGCATTAACCTTTGAAATACTAATTCTGCTTTTCAGTCGATAAATTTAGCACAACACGGACTGGCCACAATCGAGAAGATGAAATGAGAAAGGTCCATGCCATTCGTGAGTTAAAGGGCCTCGTCTGCCCACCACACACAGCATTTTCCTCACACGAGGGGCAGCCGCGGCCTAAAACAATCTGTCCACTCAGGGGAAGGACAGGGAGAGGAGGAGCCCCCGCGCCAACCTACCTTGACGTTATCTGACTTCATCTCAACATCTGTGTAGAGGCCCTTCAGGAACCCAGTGGTCCTAATCACCTTCAAAACACAAAAAGGAAACTCATGCACCTCCCAGGACATCCGCTGACCCCCCCACCAGCGCCCAGGAGTCTCACTGTCCACTCTCGACAAATGTTTACGCCATGAGTGCAGGACGCTGTGGCGCAGAACACAACCAGGCCTCAGGACATTGTGGCTGCAAGCACAAAGAGTGCCAACACCCAGGGGTGCCAGGGCAGCCCACAGGAGGGGAGGGCCCAGGTGCCAGGGACAGCTTCCCAGGGGAGAGCAGACCTAAACTGGACCCAGAAGCTAACAGAAGAGCTGGGGAAGAGGGCATTTAGGAAGCACTTGACCAATCAAAGAAATCTATTCCATGAGGGATGGAACAATTCGGATGGAATAAATCTTCTTGTTTGTGGCCAGAGCATGTTGTGCTAATTTATCAACTGAAAAGCAGAATTAGTATTTCAAAGGTTAATGCAGCCCATCAGCCAACTTAAAAGCTTTCACGAATTGTTTCTGTTGTATTATAAAAGGTCAGTATTTCTAAATTTTCAAGGGATCCAGAGAAATGTGAGACAGCAGGAGTCTGAGGCCTCCAGAGTCCTGCAGGGCCTGACCCAGAGGCTCTTTGCAACCACTTAGGGACACAAACTATGCTTATGAGACCGGGCAGTTCTAACACAGAGAGGCCAGGCCACTCTGAGCTTCACTGGAGTCCCCCAGGCACGGTGGCAGGAATGGATACCAAAAGGAAAAGGAAGAGCTTAGCCTGGGCATCCAAACCAGAATCTCCAGATGGGTCCTCCTCACTTCTTAGGATGGTGGGGTACCATGCATCTATGTCATCACTTCTGTTCTCCTCCTACCTGCCCCTCCCCCTCAGGTAACCTGAACCCTGAAATATCCTGAAAGGGCTGTGGTTTGCTCTGTCCCTCCCTGTCCCCCACCAGAATCCTGGATATCTTAAGGTCAGAGTTATTAAAAATGTGAGGGTTACTGAAAAATCAAAACAATGGATTTTCTAAAAAATGAAACAGAACAGAAAATATCAGGTGTGTCCTGGGTCAGCTGTAGCTTTATTACTGTGAGTCAGGTTTTAAAAACCAATGGCAAAAGACAGGCCTGGGAGTCAGCCAACTACTGCGTTGTTTTGTTTGGCTTTGTTCTTAGAAGATGGCTAGAATGCGGACTCTTAAAAGCATCCCACCCTTAATGTTCCTGACAAGTGCTCACTTCTTCCGGGTTGAGGTTTTCCCAAGGTGCAGACAGTTTAAATTGTGAGCAGTAACTGGAAGCAACAAGAAACAACATCACAGAACCCTGCTTAACCTAATGAAAAACGCTGTTAGTTCGCTACAGCTCCATATTTAGACACTGACTTGAACAAGACATTCAGGGGCAGTAAGAATCTTCACAGGACACTCTCCACCCACCATCTAAAAATGCTTTTCAGCATGTCAGCCATTCTAACGCCTTGTCAAGCAGGTGTCAGTGCATTTATCTCGACACCGAAAAAGAAATTAATTTCAGCATTAGAAAAAGTTTAGAAGAAAAGCAGACCTGTTCCCAATGGAGCATATACCTCACTGCATACCTGCCTACCAGGCCACAGAGTGGATTCCTGCTTGAATGTTCCTCCTCCATCCCACAAAACACCCTTGGACCAACCAGGACATGGTCATTAAGCCCCACCCACAAGCTCCCCCAGGGTGAGCAAACTCCCCTGTGGCACTCCCCTCTTCTAACCCTGCCATTCCTTTTGGTTACCTGCAGCATTCTCACTGAAAGGTCCTCCCTAAGTCCTGAGAATGGAAGTATTCTTTAGGCTCCCTCCCCCTCAAAGTTTCTCTTCCCTCCAAGTGCCTTCCTCGGGTGGCCCTACATTTCATGAGCTGCCAGGAGCAGCACAGGAAATGAGGTATAGCTTTGCAGCCTCAGCTCCAACAGTTTTTCCTCGCTCCCTCAGGATCAGGGGATGGCACCTGCTACTTCACAGAGTGGTGGTGACAGAGCACACTGCCCGGCTCCCATGGGACTCTCTACACAGCTGGGTCCCTTCCCCATACACCATCCAGGACAGGCTGTAAGAGCTGTGCAATCCAAGAGAAGGGGACCACCAGTCAAAATAGGAGTGTGGGTGATTCCCAGAGCTTTTCCGTATGAGCAGGTCTGGGACAGAGACACACGTTCCAGGAGAGTACACACCACAGCTAGTAGGATGGCCAAAATCAACAAGGAATGAGAACCCTCACGCCGTGAGGCTAGGAGCCCTGGGAGCCTGCAATCTGACCCCTAAGTCCCAGAGAGCACCGGGGCCCCTGAGCCCTCTGGTGCACCCTGAAATGGGTGCTGCCACCCCTTGAGGCAACACTCCTGAGTTACTAAGCACCTGGACAGACTGCCAAACAGTGAATGTTTGTTGTGCAATTTCTATGTACCCAGTGCAGCTCACTGGAGATGCACTAACAAATCAGTACCGTCCTGTCATTGAGAAATTCACCGTCCTTAAGTGAGAAAGTCACAGCGACAACAACCTCAAGTTAAAGCAGGCTGTGCAGTTTATCAACAAATATCAAACGACATTTTTACAGCTTTCCTTTCAGGTTCCCCTACAACCAACATATTTATTCTCCTTCGTGTATTTATTAAGCATTCTAACTCCGGTGACTGCACCAAGCAGTCGTGAGAGAAACTCTGAGGAGGGAGCCTAAAGAATAACTCCACCCTCCCAGGACTTGCGGAGCACCTTCCACGTGAGAACGCTGCAGGGCAACCAAGGGGAATGACAGGTTAGAGGGGAAGTCACACAATCGGTTCTGCCAGCAGAACCACGAAGGGCTCTGAAGAGACACGCCTGTGGGTAGGAAAGAAACGGGAAGGTTCCCGGGGCCGGGCGCCCGCGACCCCAGCTACCTGGGAGGCCGCGGCAGGAAGATCGCGAGTTCAGGGCCAGCCTGGGCGACCGGTCGAGGCCCAGTCTCAAATTAAACGTAAACAGGGCTGGACGCGGCTCGGCCGGGGAGGCGCGCAGAGGCACAGCGCCCCGCGTCCAATCCCCGGGCCCCCGAGGCGGGACCCCGGCAGGAGCCGGCCCTGCGCTCCCGGTCGGCAGCTCCCAGCCGATCTCCCGGCGCAGCGTCCCCCCGGCCCGGCCCACGCCGCCCGGCGCGCACCTCCGTGACGATGTCGTGCAGGTAGCGGAACGGGGGCTTGCTCAGCAGCTTCTCCGTCAGCGGCGGCCTGCGGATCACCTTGCCCAGCGCCTCCTGCGTCCGCCGCACCACCGCCGCGTTCATGGCGGTGCCGCCGCGCGGCTGCCCGCCCGCGCCGCTCCGCCCGCCGGGTCCCCGCGGCCGCAGCGGAGAGCCGGACTCCCATCCCACAATGCACCGCAGCGCGCGCGGCGCCTGCGCGGCCCGCCCCCGGTTGCCAGGGCTGCGCGGCCTTAGCAACGGACGCTCGTGGGGCCCGCCTCTCCCGAAGCCCGCCCTCATAGGCCCCGCCCCGGACGCAGTCCCGCCCACCGCCTATCCCGGACCGCAGCGCTCGCCCCGCCCACAGCCCCCCTGACCCGCTTCGCTTCGCTGCCCGCTTCGCAGCCCGCTCCGCAGCCCCGCCCCTCCGCAGCGTAGCCCTGCTGTCCCGCTGCCCTGCTGCCCAGCTGACCTCCTGACCAGCCCGCTCTGCCCACTGGCGGAGGCCGCGGTGGGCCTCCTAGCACAAGCAGCTCCCAGGACCTGCGCTGCCTGACAGGCACAGTTCCAGGGGAGCGGTAGGCTCAGGTGAATGGACGGGGCTGCGCGCAGTCCTCCCACATGGTACTCCACGTGGCTTCTTGGGCAAGGGCTTGTTTTCTCTGACAATTCATTTCTGTTCCTATAAAGGAGGATACTAACGTGTCGCCCAGGAAGGTGAGGACTGCGTGATGTCCCCTGTTCACCGGGCGTCGGATTCTGTCCCACCTCCTGTCCGACCCGCACAAACCCTCTCGGCAGTGTGGGGGCTCTGTATTCTGCGTTTATTCTTCCAGTGAATGCTCTTATGGCTTTTTAATTTACATTCACTTTTTACCATTTTGCATACTCTTCATTCTTTGTGTAGATCTAGATTTCCACCTGGTGCGTACTCCTGTCTGAAGAACTCCTTCTTTAGTATTGATTTTTGCACCGTTAAGCTGCCAACTAATGCTTCATCTTTTATGTATCCAAAAATCTTTATTTCATCTTCACATTTGAAAGAATTTACCACGCTCAAATGGGGGGAGGTTGTATAGACTACCAATCTCAAGTCAGGCTGTATGGCTTATCAATAAATACTAAACTGCATACTTTTTTTTTCTTCAGTACTGCCCCTTGAACTCGGGGGTGCTCTACCACCGACCTACATCCCCAACCCTTTTTATTTATTTATTTATTTTTGAAACAGTGTCCCACTAAGTTGCTGAGACTGAACTCCAATTTGCAATCCTCCTTCCTCAGCCTCCAGAGCGAAGTTGCTGGGATTACAGGCCTTCGATAACATACCCAAACTAAACTGGATTCTTATAATCTGCTTTCAGGTCTCCCTACAACCACCTCCAATAAATTTACCCTCAATTATTTATTAAATGTACAAGTATTAGAATTCTGACTTGACTTTTTTCTTTTGGTACTTTGAGAATGTCACTTCACTGGCTTCTGGTTTACATAGTTTCTGAAAAGCAGTCTCCTGGAATTCTCATTTCTTGTGCTTTGTTTTGTTTCTGCCTGTCTCAAAGATTTTTTTTTTTTTTACTATTGGTTTGTCAGAGGTTTGCCAGTGATATATGTAGATGTATAGTTATATTTTGCTTTTGCTTTTTCAGACTGGCTCTTGCTGTGTTGCCTGGGCTGGCCTCAGTCTCACACTCCTCCTGCCTCAGCCTCATGATCACCTAGGATCACATACCTCTGCACCCAACAGGCGCATTTTCACCTAAAATCTATGTATGATAATTGTTTATATACAGTGAAATTCACACAGTCCAAGTGTGCAGGTTGATGCATTTTATTGATCATACAAATTATGTCACCACCACTCAGCCAAGTCATAGAAGAGTGCCCTTGGCCATCTCTTCTGCTCAGAGGATTCAGTGATTCCGAGAGACGGAATTGACAACACTCCCTTCAGAAAGCCAACCAAGGTCCAGGGAAAGAGTCCCCAAGGAATTGCGCTCTCAGAGAGGTTCCAGCCTGGCTGGCATCCCTTCTTAACCCTTCCCTGGCCTCAGGTGACAGCCTCTGACCCTGGCCTCTTCCAGTCTTCCTGGCTTTCTGGATGCCTGCCCCACAGGGGCCTTGGGGTCTTCCCACCCCATTCCCCCACACTGCATTCCCCAGAGCCTGAGTCTCCAGTCCAGATTCATACCCCAGGGCCTTGGCAGAGCAGCCCACAGTGGTGTGTGGCACTGCAGTCCCTTGGAATAGTCCAGAGTGATCATGGACATGAACCAGGCTTCTTCCAGGGCCTCCAGAGTCCCATTACCCTCCTGATGACGCGCGCACAGGTCCTTCCCCACACACATTCTCCTTCCCAGAGACCAGCTTCCGTCCTCACGTAGCTCATCAGCTCTCACAGAGAACAGAACACTTCTCCAAAGAGCTCATCTGCAGCTGGCTCCTTGTCATGGAGGCTTCCACCAAGATTTCCAAGGAAGGCCTGGGAGGCCAGGCAAAGTGCAGCAGGGTTGGGGTCCCTGCAGGTGCCCCTGAGAGGGTGAGGCATGAAGATGTGAGAAGGAAGTCAAAGCTGCAGCAGAGACACCCCCCGCCATGCAAGATTAAGAGATTCCAGTAACGTGGGACGTCTCCCCGGGGAAGCTACAGAAATAGATCAGAAACAAGCTGAGAGAGAGGGCAAGTGAGCTGCCACCAGCAAGGTCACAGGGGTGGAGCCACACGAGCTCTTTGGGGAAAACACGAAGATGCCCTGTGCCCAGATGCTGGGTGCGGAGCTACAGGACTTGTTTGCCCAGTTGAATTTTGGTCTTGCTTCGGCTCAGACCCTTCCTTCTGTGCCCTTATTTCTCCCTTTTAAAATGGAAATATTTATTCTATGACATTCTGTACTGGATATATGGAACTTGCTTTTGATCTTAACAGGGAAAAAAGCTAAGAGTTTTCCTTGAGTCTTAGAAGAGATTTTTAGACTTAGGCTTTTGGGCAGTACTGGAACTGTTAACTGGAACTCTTCATCATGTACAACCACAAAAATGGGAAGTTAGACTCCAGGTGTGTATGATATGTCAAAATACATTCCACTGTCATGTATAACAGAAAAGAACAAACTTAAAATTTTTAACAAATAGAAAGATTACGGGGACTCCAGAATAACCAAAGCAAATGCAAGCCAAAAAAGCAATGCTGGAAGCATCACAGTAATTGACACAGTTATGAAAACTGCATGGTACTGGCATAAAACAAATGTATGGACCAGTGGTACAGAAGAGAGGTCACAGAGACAAACCCACACATCTATAGTCACCTGCTCCTTGACCAAGGTACCAAAAAAGTATGTTAGAGAAAACAGCCTTTTAAACAAACGGTGCTCAGAAAACTGATTTCGCAAATGTACAAGAGTGAAACTAGACCCATATTTTTTACCCTGTATAAAAAAAAAAAATCAGGGGCTGGGGTTGTAGCTCAGCGGTAGAGCGCTCTCACACGTGAGAGGCCCTGGGTTCAATCCTCAGCACCACATAAATAAATAAAAAAGATATTGTGTTCAATTACAACTAAAAAATAAATATTTAAAAAAATCAACTCCAGAACTGGAGAGGGTCCTGCTAGGTGCAATAACCCAGTCCCAAAACACCAAAGGCAGCATGTTCTCTCTGATATGTGGACGCTAACTCACGAGGAGGGAAAGAAGAACAGAAGTTCCTGGGCTAGACAAAGGGACTTGAAGTGAAGGGAGGGAGAATGGGAAGAGAAAGGTAGTAGAATACAGTGGTCATGACTCTTCTATGTCATGAATACACAACCAGTGAAACCCCACACAAGTACAACCCTGGAGAATGGGAAGTTGGACTCCACGTATGTATGATGTGTCAAAATACATCCTACTATCATGTATGACCAAAAACAACAAATACATTTTAAAAAAGTCAACTCCATATGAATCCAAGACCTCGGAATTAGACCAGAAACCATGTAACTCCTAGAAGAAAACCAAGGGTCAACTCCAGCTTTTAGGCTCAGGCAGCGACTTTCTCAATTAGACCCATAAGGCTCAGGAAAGAATGCCAAGAATTAATAAATGGGATGGCATCAAATTAAAAAGCTTCTATACAGCAAAAGAAACAATTAGGAATGTGAAGAGAATCCACAGAACGGGAGAAAATCTTTGCCAGTTTATCTAATCTTTGCCAGCTTAACTAACCCTCTGACAGAGGATTAGTTCAAAGAATATATAAGGAACTCAAAACTTAATACCAAGAAATCAAATAAGCCGATTATTAAACATGTAAATGAATTAAATAGATACTTCTGAAAAGAAGAAATACAAATGGCCAAAAAATATATGAAGAAATGTTTAACATCATTAGCAATTAGAATGGCTGTCATCAAGAATTCAAACAAAAAGAAAATGAAAAAAGAAAAAATATGTTAAAAATTTTAAAAAGTAAAAACAAAAGAAAAAAACACAACAAAATAATAATAATAATAATAAATAAAAAGAATACAAATAATACTTGCTGGGCACAGTGGCTTGGAAGACTGAGGCAGGAGAATTGCAAGTTCAAAGCGAGCTTCAACAATTAGGAGGCCCTAAGCAATTCAGTGATACCCTGTCTCTAAATAAAATAAAAAATTTGGATGTATTATCAAATTTTAAAAAAAAAAAGAAAGAAAGAAAAGGATACATACAATATGCAGGCTGGGGTTGTGGCTCAGTGGTAGAGGATTAGCCTATTATGTGTGAGGCACTGGGTTCGAGTCTCAGCACCACATATAAATACATAAATAATAAGGTTCCATCAACAACTAAAAAAAAATAAAAACAATAATAAATGCTGGAGAGAATGTGGAGAAAAACGACAAATTTTTACACTGTTGGTGAGGTTGTAAATTAGTACAACCACTATGGAAATTAGTATGTAGGTTCCTCAAAAGACTAGGCATGGAACCACCACGTGACCCATCTGTACCCCTCCTCTGTATTAGTCCTGAAGATTAAAGTCAGCACACTACAGTGACACGTGAACATCCATGTTTACAGCAGCACAATTCATAGTAGCCAAACTATGGAACCAGCCTAGGTGTCCATCAACAGATGAATGGATAAAGAAAATGTGGTACATATACACAGTG